GTGTGTGGAGGTGCAGGGCAGAAGGCTGGGTGTGTGGGGGGTTCAGGGCAGAGGGCTGGGGTGTGTGTGGAGGTGCAGGGCAGAAGGCTGGGTGTTGGGGGGGATGGTAGGATGACCAGATGTCCCGATTTTTGGGTCTTTTTCTTATATAGTCTCCTATTACCCCCCTCCTTCTGTCCTGATTTTTCACACTTGCTGTCTGGTCACCCTAGTGTTGGGGGGAGGTCAGGGCAGAGGTGTGGGGGGTGCAGGGCAGGGGGCTGGGAGGGATATGCCCTGTTCCACCCCCTTCCCCAAGGCCTGTCCCTACGCTGCTGCTCTGCTCCGCTCCCCACCCCCTCGCAAGGGGTAGAGGGGGGAGGAGGAGGGGCCAGAATGCACCACGCTGTGGGAAGAAACGGGGGTGGGGGGCAGCTTGGCTGCTGCAGGACCAAGCTTCTGGCTCCTGCCCCCACAGGGGAGAGCGGTGGGGCTGAGTGGGGCTGGGACCCCCACCGCTCTCCCCTCCAGGGGCAGGAGGTAGAAGCTTGGTCCTGTGGCAGCCAAGATCCCCCTCCCCCCCCCGTTTCTTCCCCCAGCGTGGCGCTTTCCGGCCCTTCCGCCCCTCCTCCTCCTCTCACCGGGCAGGCAGCATGCCCCTCAAAATCGGCTCGCGTGCTGTGTTTGGCACGCGTGCCGTAGGTTGCCGACTCCTGGTATAACCTGTGTTCTTAGCCCCCAGCATGGTGTGAACTATAGCCAAGAGGAGTCAGTTCCTAGCTGAACTATCTTCCTGGTATGATTTAAAGCAGGTGCTTGTTTTCCTTTCAGTACGGAGATATCTATAACTTCCCCATACATGCCTTTGACAAGGCTCTGGAACAGCAGGATGCAGAGAGCGAAGCGGAGTCTGACACGGAGGAGAAGGAGGAAGAGGATGAAGAGGAGGTAATAGTTTTAAAATTTTTATCAGAATGGGGCAGTTAAACCATGACTGCGATAGTGCTGGACCCATTTTTATATATATATATATATATATATATATATATATATATATATATATATATATATATACACACACACACACAC